ACAGAGTGAAAAAAATCTAATATGTTTATTTAGCAGGAATACAAATAATGTTTAAATCACTTTTTAGAGAATGAATAGATTCACCATTAACTATAACTTTACATGATGGAAGGATAATAAACTTAAAAGATTAGTCATTTAGGAACAATAGAAGGAAATTTAGCATATCAAAAAATTATATTTACATGTTATCCAAAATATTGTGTATCATTAAAAAATAGAAATTTTAATAAAGTTTTAGGATTACATTTTAAATTTCATAGGGATGATATCATGCAACCAGAAGATCAATTATGACTATAGAATATAGAGCTTTATATACATTTACTAATTCTAATTATGGGAATATTTATTCCAATAAATCATATATTGAAGTTCATAAAGAATGTAAAGATATTAGTAAAATAATAGAACTAAATAAATAAATAAGTTTAATTCCAAAAGAATATGAATTTAATATAACAAAAAATAAACCTGAAATAACAGAATTAAATGGAGGAGAATGTTTTAATAACATAATATTTAAAGATAGAAAATTAATTAAAAAGTTTTAAAATACCTAATAAAAATCAGTTAGAAGAAATCAACAAAATTAAAAAAGTAAAACTGTATAAGAATGCTGGAAACATGAAAATAGAAGAAGAATATTATAATGGAAGAGAAAATATAAATAGACCAAATATATTAATAGATACAGGAGCTAGTGAATGTCATATAACTTTGATTAGAAACAAAAGACTAATAATTCATAAAACTGAACCATATAAGTATGTAAATTTTGATGGACAAATACATATAACAGATTTAGAAGTTAAAGTACCAATAAAAATAGGAGGAATAGATCTTTTAGTACCATATTATATAGATAGAAGTATGAATATAAACCCTCATATACTTTTAGGAATGAGTTTTCTAAACAGATTAGAAGATTATAGTATAAAAAGAAAGGGATTATATATTGTTCATAATGGACAAACTACATTATGTAAAAAGAATTAGATGAATAATTATATAAATTTTCCATTAGCTGTGTATATATAAATTACTATTGTAGAAACAAATATAACAACTTGTACTTTAATAGATACAGGAAGTGATATGACAATATTTAAAAGTTTCTTAATAAAATCATGAAATAATAATAGTAATATAAAAATAACTAGTGTTACAGGAAAAAGTACTTAAATAATTAATAGTGCTGATAAAGTTAATATAATTCTTGAAAGTAAACAAGTAACAATAAATAAAATTTATAAATATAATAAATTAGAATGTGACATATTATTAGAAAATGATTTCATACAACAATTTCAATATTATAAACAAAATAATTATATGATAATGCTACAAATACCTTGTGGACACTTATTAAAAATTCTTAGAGAATTTAAACCCTATAGAGTTCAATCAGCCCAGCGTGGTAATAAATGGGAGAAAAAACCAATTCTTAATAATGAAATAAAAAATAAAAGAATATTATATAAAAAGGTTCTAAAAACAGGAATATAAATGAATATAGAAAAAATCATTAGACAATTAGAAAATGTTTATGGAGAAAATTCATTAATTCATTATTATTTTGGAAACCACATCACCCAAAAGTCAAAATAGAATTAACAGAAAATGTTATAATAAGAGTAAGATCAATGATGTATACAATAGAAGATACACAAGAATTTGAAAACTAGATAAAAGAATTATTAGAACAAAAACTTATTAGACCTAGTAACGGACCTCATAGTAGTCTAGTTTTTATGGTTATGAAACACTTTGAACAAGTTAGAGGAAAAGTTAGAATGGTTATAAATTATAAAGAATTAAACAAATATACTAAATTTTATGGTTACTTTCTACCAAATAAAGAAGTGCTAATAAATATTGCAAAAAGAAAACAATATTATCCTAAATTTGATTGTAAATCAAGATTTTGACAAGTAAAAATGGAAGAAAATAGTATACAATATACTGCATTTAGCACACCTCAAGGAAAATATGAATGGTTAGTTATGTCATTTGGTTTGAAAAATGCACCACAAATATATCAAAGGAAGATGAATAATATATTTAAAAAGTTTAATAAATTTCTAATAGTTTATATTGATGATATATTAATATGTTCTAATAGTAAAGAAGAGCATAAAAATCATTTAATCCAATTTATTATCGAATGTAGAAAAGAATGAATTGTACTATCTAAAAAGAAATCTATAATAGAAAAACAAGAGATAGATTTTCTTGAATTATCAATAGATAAAATTACAGACTCATATATCCAAAAAGATTGAAAGTTTCCCAGATAAATTAGAATCCAAAGAATAAATTCAAAATTTTTTAGGATGTTTAAATTATGCAGAAAGATTTATTGAAAATCTTTCTAAGAAAAGATATAAAATCCAACTTTTACTTAGAAAACAAACACTAAGCAATGGAATGAAGAACATACAGAAATAGTTAAATAATTAAAAGAAGAATGTAAAAATTTACCAAAATTAAGATTACCAGATGAAAAGGATAATTTGATTGTTAATACTGATGTCTCAGATAAATATTGGGCAGCAATATTAAAAATAGATCTTAATGAAATTTGTAGATACTCGAGTGGAACCTTTAACCGAGCAGAAATAAATTATACTACTCATGAAAAGGAATTACTAGCAATTATTAGAGGAATAAAAAAGTTCTCATTGTTTTTATTATCCAAGAAATTTATTGTTGAAACTGATAATTCTCAAGTTGCAGGATTAGTCAGGAATAAGTTACCCTCGGAACCACAATACAGAGGCTTCATAGATGGCAAACTTATTTAGCATTTTATAATTTTGATATAGTCCATATTAAAGGAGTTAATAATTTTCTTGCAAATTTTCTCAACAGAAATATAGAATTTACTGATGGATAAAGTCAAGACCATGGAGTTATACCGATCTATTATACATATACAAAAAATGACAAATTTTCTTAAAGAAGAATCTAAAGATATAAGTTCTGGAGCAACCCAGATCTCAGATATGTTCAACTCAAATATGAAAATATTGTTGAATATCACTACTGAACATCATAAATATGTCATAGAACTAAAAAATCAAGTTGATGCTACTGCAGCACAACTAAAAAATATACTGTTTGAAACAGATATACCAAAAGCTCAAAAATGAGTTTTCCAAATCAATACCGAACAGAGATAGCTAGAAGCAGCAATAGACTCAGACGTGACAACATACCAACTGATAATAAAGGAGATTTCATATCTGTATCATCAACCAAGAAAGTTATGATACACGGAGATAAAAGAGATACCAAAACAATCAGTATCAAGATAAAATCTCTTTGAATCCAAACGAAAAAAAATATGCCGAAATAGTCAAAATCGCTTATGAAATAAAAATAAGTAATTCATATTTCATTTCTCCGGGAAATAATGTTTACCCCAAAATAACAGCCATAGAAGGAGTTGACCCTTCATTTATAAAAATCATGACAGACTATGGATTCATGGATTTGATTTATCCAGAAAAAGATTTTATTGAAATTTCAAAGTTTGATGACATATTCATTAAGGAAGTATCCAGATTTGCTAAGGGAAGGAAGATATTTTTAAAATTCTATTCAATTGGTCTTAAATATGATGGAGTTGTTTACTATCCAGTTAAACATATAATCTCAATTGGATATGTTGCAACCAATTTCCAAATTGATGTTACAGAGAATAATAGAAAAGTCCCAAAAGTGACAAAATCATGGATCAGACATAGAAGAGCATTTGGAATTAAAGCCATCTACAACATTGCCAAAAATTTGTTTGAAAAAAAATTCTCGTGCCTGTGCCAATAGGAAAATTGGATGTTGATATCCAATGGAGGATATGCAAAATCAGAAATTTTAAAAGATTATATTACAAGATTTAATATACATCAATTTTCAGGATGTCCTACCACTATAAAAGAATCCTGCCAGCTAAGAAAGTGCCCCAGCTGCATGTGAAGAAATTAAAGAAGAAGACAAAGCACCTTTTGACAAAGGTGTATGAAGGACAATAATACTACATGTGAAGACATTGAAAATAAAGAACAATAATAGAAAAGGATGCTCTTTGGATAGAAAAGTTGAACCAGCACGTGAAGATGTAGGCCCAAGGAAGAAAATAGAGAGGCAAGAGTGTCTTTGCTGATGTAATCAATGATGTAACAGAGTCTCAAAAACTTGTATAAATAGAGACATTACCATAGAAGAAGATCATATCATCGTATCTTGAATTCTCAAGTTGTAAGCAACAACCCATTTCCTAGTTTGAAAAACCAGTTTTTCTGGAAATCCCTTTTGTACCAAATAGAAGTCTTGTATCAAATCTGATAGGAATAAAATTCCAATATTTTGATATTAATACGAGTTTCTAAATCTTTTTCCCATAAATTCTTGAAGGATCTAATAGAAAGTTTCATTCTTATTTTAACAAAAATAGAGTTTTTCTTTAACACAAGTCTAGAATTTTATTCTTTAAAAGTTGATACAGTGAGAGCAAGAAATTGAAATAGTAACAATTTTGTGAAGGCAGGAGGCCATTGAAGGAGGCAGTTTACAAATTCAGAGCTCAAAGGTCACTCGATTTTAAGAATACAGGTCTAGATCAAACCTAAAGTAAAACTATTAAACTTTTGCTAAAATTAGAATGAATCTTTTTAAGATCTTAAAAGAATCACACGGACAATTGTATGATGATTATTTTGATAAATGTCAGGATATACGATTGAAGGATTAGATAATTTATTAGAAAGAATGTTAGAAAAAATAAAGAATATTATATTTCAATTAAAAAATAAAAATTTACCATTTGAAGAATATGATATTTTACTTAGAAAATATGATATGTATATTGCAGATTAGTCCTATTTATTAGATCATAGAATGATTTTATATTCAAATATTTAAAATAGAGAAAATAGAAGATAAAATAATTAAAAAATTAGGACATACGTTACCATATAAAAAGAGATAGACCTTCCCAATCAAATAGCGATAGTTCAAATCGAAAAGTCTTTCCCATAAACAAGCTAAGGCCTAAGGGTGAGTAGAGTTAAACAACACACAAATTACATCCAGCGCCAAGGGATCACCAGCAGCGTGTGTGAGAGAGAAGGGGGAGAAAAATGACGCTAAAAGTGTATGCAGATCGGATGTCTCAACCTTCGCGTGCAGTAATTATCTTCTGCAAGTAATTCTCTCTTAATAATCCATTATTTGTGATGAATTTTGATTTTTTTATTTTTTTTAAATTTTTTTGGGGTGGGGGTGTCTTTGCGTTCATTTACGATGAACTAATAATTTGATTTGGGTCGTGTTAAGAATAAATGGGATTGAATTTGAAGAGGTGAAGATCGACATCTCCAGACGCCAGCATAGAACTCCTGAATTTGAAGGTGCTTAATTTTTCATATTTTATTTGCCAGTTTTTCTTACACGTAGTTAAAAAAATTAATCTTTTATGTTATTCTGTGTTTCTTTTTGATGATTTTGTGGCAGAAATAAATCCCATGAAGAAAGTTCCAGCAATAGTTGATGGGAGGTTCAAGCTTTTTGAGAGGTACCCTTGACTTTTACTTTGATTTCATTCAAGAGAATCTTCAATTGAGGTTTAGATTCCATTATTGTATGCTTAGTTACACATGCTCATTGGATTATATATATTGGTTGTTCATGTTGGAATAATCGATTATGAAAAATGATAAGAGATTAGAAAATTACCACGACCTGTTTTTCTCATTGTTTTATGTTGGATTTTATGCGCAATATTAAAGAGATGAAAAAAAAAATCAACACAATAATTTATGTGGTTCGACGGTGTGCCTACGTCCACGAGAGCGAAGTGAAGATTTCTTTATTCAGTAGTGAAAAATAGGATTACAACATATTATTTATACTAACCCTAGCCTGGGCCCATATAAGATTTTAAGACCCGTACTGGAAATACCCTTGTACCCTACCGAGGGGACGTTGTCCCCGCATCCCCAGCCCATTCAGCGTCCCTAACAACCAAACAGTGAATTAAATCAGCGCCGGTATCGGCCCATTTGATCCAGGACCTGTGTCCACTCTATAGAGCCACATGCACAACATTTTAAGAATTGGTTCGGTTATCAACTGGAAAAGGAAGAGGGTCGAGGGTCTAAGGGTCGAACCGAGTTTTTCTTGTATAGTAACTTAATGATTAGCCAGGTCTGTAGTGTTAGCCCTAACTGGTCATTGTTAATTATCAATTTTTCTGATTAATGGTGCCTAATTTTCTTTTTAGCAAGTGCACAATTGTTGAGTTATCTTAGGCATGAGCAATAGGTCATTTCTAGTATTCTCTATGTAGTGGTCTACCTGAAACTGCTTTTCTTTTCTCGCTGCTTGTAAACAAAACCATCAATAGCTTAGTTGAATTTGCGGAAGCAGGATAGAAGTTGTACTCATGCCTCATTCCTAGATGAAACATACATGCCACTGTTCCTTACTTCGACTGGGTACAAATATCTATGTTATTTTATTGATTATATAGTAACATTGGAGAATTTTCTTTTAATTATGTCACAAGGAGAAGATGCTGTGTCTGTGTTCACTTATTATGTTATGTCCATTGAATAGTCTCTCTACTTGGATGATCTTTGGTTTATATCTACTTTTCAGAAATGTTGTGTAGATTTTGATAGTTGTCAAGAACAAACTTGAGGCCTTGACCGGAAGTAGAAAATTTTTCACTGAGTGCTGCCGAAAACAACGTGATACTGGTGTAAATTTTTGAATGTTGAAATTAAACATCAGCTGAAAAACGAGTTTTAGAAGGATTATGGTATATTTGTTAGTATCTTTTCGAATCTTAAATATGCATATAGCAAGCATAATGTACTACATAATCGAACTGTTACTTTTAGCAATTTGTTAAGTTCTTATATCCAATGAAGCAGTTGATGTGAATTTTATCAATTTTCAACTTTGTTCACATTTTTGAAGTGTTTTGCAGTCATGCAATTATGATCTATCTAGCTTACGTATTTCCTGGAGTTGCAGATCACTGGTGAGTTCAGTTGATTCAATTTTTTCATCAATCGTTTATAGAACCTTTCATTTCTAAATAATATGTTGCGCATGTAAATAGAGTTAAACTTAGGATCTTGAATAGAAATCTACAGAGATTAGGTTTAAAAAGTAAAAAGATTACGTCATCTTTTTACCTTTAACATAGGCCGTTTACAGATGGGGTTCTTACAGAAAAAAATAGTCCCTAGTTCCCTAGATGCTTCTT